GTCCGGTCGGACACCCCAGACGTCCGGCCCGGTAACCTAGCTTTTCAGTGTTTTCACCTCATTTTTTGCCTTCTTATCAAAAAACAGTTAAAACCGTTATCTTTTGTGTAAAAATAACAGTTTGATTTTTACTGTTTCATTCTATAAAAAATATGAGGTCTTGTAACTTTCGTCCTTTTGTTAGGTTTTCACGAATCCAATGTTATGGCAAGATAGACAATTCGAAGAAACTTTTTCGAGTTCTTCTGTTCCGAACCAGAGTCGGTAATATATTTTACTATAATTCTCATATTTAATATCTCTTTGAACGGGTCCCACGTGTGTAAACATTCCAAACAACTTCTTTCACTTTATTCTTTATTGTCGTTTATCTTCATATTTTTCGTGGTCTTTATTATGGGAGTTGTACCAGTCCACGAGAATCAGTGTGGTGTCTTGGAGTGGTCATTTCCATTATATAACCCAAAAAGGCTTTCTTTCTTTGGAGTACCCCTTTTACTATGCCTCTCACGTACGAGGTTGGCCATGTTGATTACGGTTGAGCACCGGCTGGCAGCTGCCAGCATCCTTGTGTGCCTGAACGGTCCACTAGCACATTATGAAAGGAGGCAGCGTAAAGGGGGAAGAATAGTCTGTTTCCTTTTCTTTAGATCTTCACTTCATATTTTCAAATTATTATTTTGTCTCTTCCCTTCATGCTGCTCATTCTGATGCATTAAGGGAAGGAAGTATTCTTTTCTATAGAGCTTCTTCCCTGCCCCTCGCTTTTACTAGAGGTATAGAAGAGGAGGGAGGAAAGAAAGGAGTGGGTGGGGGTGGAGGTCTATAGGAAGCGAGGAGCAGGGGGGAAGGAAGGACTAGAGGAGGGAGGTGAAGGGGCAAAGTCCAGAACAGTGTGTTTTGTCATGTTCGCTATACACAACTCTTGTTATTATTAATGATTGTAACAACTTTTATTGGGTGTGTGTTGCCATGGGGACAAATGAGTTTTGGGGGACCTACTGTAATTACAAGTTTAGCTAGTGCAATACATGTTGTAGGAGACACCATAGTAATTTAAAATTGGTTATGGGAAGGCTTCTCAGTGGATAACGCAACCTTAGTGTGCCTCGTTGACCTATAACTGCCGTAGGACGTGAAATGGTCGTTGCCCACGAAATGGACAACAATTGAAACCGGATGCAAGACCTGCCTACGCTGCGATGCTCAGTAGACACCTGCACTTTTAAAAGAGAGCTCGCAACTCTCTGAATTCGAAAGTGCGATACGCTAGGCCACGACACGGATGTTTTTGATCATACCTCTTCCCCACCCAGTATCAGTGTTTGGGTCTTCCTGCTAAAGAGAAGTTTGAGTGGGCCATAAATTGAAAATACGCACATATTCCTTTTCTTTGAAATAATGACTCACTATTCTAATACGGATGCATTCGCGGTAACTGTAGCTGTAACTGCCACTGCTACTGCAAGTGCTACTACTACTGGTGGCACTTGTAGTTCATGATTTCTTCGCAATTATTTACGGTTTGCAATTAAATTTTGTCTATTCGGTCTCCATTGTCCCTGATTCATAAACAGTGATAAACTACATAGCGCTATGCATGCATAGCGTTATGCATGGCTAACAGTACTGGTCATTCCAGAGGTACCCAGTGCCTTATATTGACCCAGCAGTACTTCCAAACCTCTTTAAATTTCCCCAATATGCCAATTTCAGCAGTCCACTAAGTTTTGTTCAACAAGCACTGGGCGAAAGTCGTTGATTTCCCCTGGCGCAAGCCATTTTGTTGAGGGGTCTCTCATTTTGTTGAGGGGTCTCTAACCTCAAAAGTCGCGGCGCATATACAGAAGAATCAGAACCAAGAGCTGGGCAAAGTACTGCCGGTTTAAGGGGGCTTTAGAATGGGTTTTTGTTTTCAAAACGATTTACTATTCTTTCTTTCAAACCTAATATTAAGTGGTAATAAGTTAATAAGAAAGATATTAGTTCATAATACATGACTTTCCTCACGACTCGGAAAGTTTACAGTAGCTGTTTCTTTTTATCACCTGTCGGGAGGCTTCTATATGTGCAATTGCAGGGCCCGGCGACGGCCGCCATTGATAGATCTCACAGGCCCCTTGCCCAAGCCTTGTATTACTCAAGGAATAGAATTCGAGGCCGGGGTCCTCACAGTCTACCACTCAATTTTCAAAGTGTGAAACAAGAAAAACAAAAAAGAAACAAAAAAGAAAACAATTGTCCACCCTACTCGAGGCTGACTCTCCGGACTGGTGCACCTTCCGAGAGCTGGCCCTCCTCTTGAGATCAGGTGGTTTCCCTCATAAACTCTCCTTCCTTCCTTGCTGAGCGGCCGTCATTTCTTTCCGGCCTCCTAACAATTCGGGCGCGGGACGGCGGCCCACATGGGAAAAGGTAGTGTAGTGGTGGTTTAAGTCTCCTTCACATATTATGTCTGCAACTTCACCTAGGCCGCACTACACAGCCATGCAGCTGTGGATATGGATATGGCAACCAGTTTTGTTCCACTTTCGTACGTGGTGTCATGGCTGTTGTTGTTAAACCAGCAAACTGAGTAAGCCGTACTTCGTCCAGCTATCGGCCGCGGCACTTCCCCGTTAACGCACCGCGCCTGCAGGGCTTCGGGGTACCAGACCACAATGGCTGGAAGCCTGGAAGCCCTAGCCAAAGGAAATTTGAAACAACGCAAGCTTCCTCGCCGTGACCAGGCTATGTAGTAGGGACGGGTCATGTGCTGACGAAGAGCCAAGTTTTGGGCTATTGCCTACGCAAGCTTCCTCGCCGTGACCAGGCTATGTAGTAGGGACGGGTCATGTGCTGTCGAAGAGCCAAGTTTTGGGCTATTGCCTGCTTGTATGGGCGGAGGTAAGTCCTGAGCAGTGTTGTGTGTGGAGTGAGCGAGTAAGGACACTACAGCCATGCAGGGGTGGGTTGGATATCAGGACCAGCATGGCTCACGGTTTTGGACAATTGCCTGCATGTGGGCGGATGTGGTGTGGAGCGAGACTCAGCGAGTTAAGGACACTACAGCCATGCAGGGGTGGGTTGGCTACCGTGTCATGGCTGTAGCCGTAGCGGTTAAGAGATTCGGCTCTTGTGGCTGAGGATGCCAGTTCTATTCCTGTGTGCCGATGGATCCAAGGTCAAAAAGACCTGATCCAAAACCCAAACTACATTCTACATTCTACAGGGCCACAACAACCAGGTAGACAGCTCATGGTAGCCTGGTAGGTCCCCACTGCTGTTCACGATGCCGCCCCCCGCCCAAAAAAAAAAAAAAAAAAAAAAAACATGGCGACAGCAAAAAAAAAAAAAAAAAAAAGTTACCGGACCAGCAAATGACTACATCCACAATCTTGACAAGTGCATCGCCTCCATTTGGTTGCCGGGGGGGGGAGAGGGCGAAGAGGGGGAAGAGGGGGAAGTGGGGGTGGAGAGGGGGAAGTGGGGGGGGAGGGGAAAGTGGGGGAGAGAGGAAAGAGTACGCCATGCACGACCATCCGCATGAACAACCTCCACGTACATATTCGACAAGATCACGACAAAAGACGGGAAAAAGAGCTACCCAACCTTTGCATGACTAAAAACAAAAAAAAACACCTTTGCATGACTACGACCTGGGGCCAGGTCCCAGATGGCCTGCCTCTTCAAAGTGGCGGTTGATTTTCATATCTACGGTCAAAATTTGAGAATCCGGGTACTAAGCGGGACCTAGCCCCAGAGATGCCGGAAAGGACCGTCGTCGGGGTTACCAGCGGACAGTCAGAGGAGAGGAGGAGGGATAAACGCAGGAAATCGCTTTCTTCTCTACCTTTTCTACGTCTTGTTTTTTGTTTCTCTAACACATCATTTCTGCAGCACTGCGAGTATACTATAACTAGGGAGTTTCCTGGATGTATCTGACCGCGATCAACGTCGCTCTTACATGTATCTTTACGGTAAGGACGCCCAGAGGGAGCAACATTCCAAGCGTGCTTCCGTGCAGAAAGGCAGTAGGAGGGAGAAACGAACGCAAACAACACTTGTACGAGAGGGAACGAGGTTTGAGAATGGCGTGTCTGCGTGTGTGCGTGGGTGCGTGGGTGCGTGTGTGCGTGGGTGCGTGTGTTTTGTAGTGCGTGTGTGCTGTGTGCTGTGTGCTGTGTGCGTGTCTTTTGGAGTGTGTGTGTGTGTTTTGGAGTGTGTGTGTGTGTGTGTGTGTGTGTGTGTGTGTGTGTGTGTGTGTGTGTGTGTGTGTG